CTCTAACCATCTGCTGTCACAGTGTCTCCTCTCTTAGGTATCTTAGGGACCTAAGCACACTCTTTGCTCATTCCTGGCCCCCAAATTCTTCTCTATGCTTCCCTTAACTCCATTATGCTGTAGACCTCATCTTGGTTTTGGTGGGGGTGGGGGGCAGGGAGGAGGCATTAGGGAAAGGACTCGCCAGAGCATGGGAACATGTGAGTTGGGGTATTCAAAGCGACAAAAAAGACTTCCCCTTCTGGTCCTTTAACTCCACTTCTTCTCACCTACCCACCTTGGAAAAACACCCCCACTTTTTACAGATCCTGGCAGCCAGACCCTGGCTAAAGGCAGCAATTAGATCATTAGCACCAGCCCCAATCCACCTGCTTGGAGCCCCTCAAACATGTTTTAATTATAATTCCTTAATCTCCCTCAGATGGCAGGGCTGTCTCTAGGGCTTTTGCCCTGCATGGCCCCTTTCCCTCCCTCTCTTCCCCCAATTAAGGGGTCCTCTCGGCAGAGAGCACCTTTCCTAGCTAACGACCTCTTAGCTTGGGAGGAGCAAGATCCTGTGCTCTGTCTCCTTTTCTCTGGGGAATGGCCCCAGGTGGCCAACTGGTCCACCTGGAAGTTCCTCCATAGGTGGAGCTGAAATCCCTTGGGTTCTGTGCCTCCTGGCCTGGGTACAATTGCTGGGATGGCTGAGGACTGCTATCCTTCCCCCTTGTCCTGGTTTCTCTGTGTTCTCTGGAAGCATCTCCCCCTGGCCCTTTCACAATGATTTCTATTTTCCTGGGTCAGCCCACCCAGGCCACCCTGTCTGGGCCAGCTGCCTCCCTGGAATCTCCTTCCAGGAGCCCCCAGGTCCTGTTGCAGGTGGAATTGAGGCCAGAGCAAGGCATGTCTGCTGGTGGCAGCCCTGTGTTGTCCTCTAGCTGATCTCAGCAGAGCCCAGCCTTGCCCTCCTGCCCTTCATGCCCACTCAGGGCTCTGGCACTCTCAGCCTCAGAGGGCTGGCAGAGCATTGGGCTGGCCTCTATCACTGGAGCTGTGAGCAGGGCAGAGGTAGGGGGAGGGACAAGATGACCCAGCATGCGGCCCTGTCTGAAGCTGAGCCTGGATGAAGCTCTTTCCTGGGAAAGTTCTGTCACTAATTGACTTGCAAATGCCTTGTTTGTCCCCAGATTCATAATTAGTGCTAAGGATTCCTAGGGCCCTATCCTGGAGGGGCTTTTTTGGGGGGCAGTCTGTTCCTCTCTCCTCTCTGAGGTCGATTGGGCTGGGGGTGGGCAGAGCCGGGCACCAGTGCCCAGCTGCCATCCAGTGTTCCCACGGCTCTGGTGCCAGCGTGTGAAAGGCGAGGTGTGGGGGGCATGAGGGCTGGGGCTCCCCGCCATCCTTCAGCCGGGACCATGGCCAAAGCCCAGAGGCTCCAGGAAACGACAGAGCTGGAGAGTGGATTGTGGCAGCAGGAGGGGGCTGGCTGGCACCCCCAGGAAGGAGAGCCCAGCCGGTGCCGGTGCTGGGGGCTGGCATCAGCCGAGTCTCCGGCACGATGAATGGCCCAACAAGGGGCCTCTCTTCCCCACGGACTCTCCACAAAGGCCTTGGCTGCACTGTTAGTTGTGGGGGGCCGGGGGCCACCAGAGGAAGAGGAGAGGCTTTTCTCAAAGACCTCCCCCCACCCCTAGCCTCTGTGCTCCTAGAAAGGGGCCTTGGGCTGGGGGCCCTGGGGCCTGGGTTCAGGCCCAGCTTGGACTTAGCTGCTGAGTGAGGGGGCAACATTCCCAACCTCTCTCAGTCTCAGTTTCCCTTACTGGATTATCCCTGCCATCCTTCCCATCCCTGATGTCCCCCTCTTGGTTTCTGCCCATGCAGCTGCCCTCAATAGCCTAACCCCACAGTCCATTGACAGTTCTCAACCCTCTGCAGGACCTACCTGGGCTTGAGACCCAGCTAGACCTCCCCTCAGGGTATATTAGGCCCCTCCCACAGGCACAGTCCTTCAATCCCTAATGCCCTTCTCCTCTCCTCAGGTCAGGAAGGGCTGTCCCAGTCCCTTCTTGCCAGGAAGGAGTAGGAAGGTTCTAAACTGTGGCTGCCTGCCATAGAGTCAGGCCATGGCCCTGCCACTTCCAAACTGTGTGACCTGGTCGAGTCTCTCAGCTTCTCTAGGTCCTGTGTGTAAAGGCCTCACAGGGTTATCACCAGGATCCAGTGAGCTTATGAGTGGAAGATACTCTGTGTGGGACCTGGCAAGGTTCCTTTCCTTCTCTCTTCCCCAGCCTTCCTCTCAAAGCTTTCTGTCGGTTTGTCTGTGTTTTCCTGTGACAGGTGTTCTTTGGCTGTCCACCCCATCTTTTTTGACTGGCCATCCCAGCAGCCCCTTTATATTGCCCATTTCATCTCCAGTTCCTTTCCCAGACTGGCCATTTTTCTTTGGTAAGTCATTCCTGAAGTCTAACCTTCTATTTCAGGTTGCCCCTCCCCAGGTCTGGCCTCTTCCCAGGCTGCCCTGCAGCTGGAGCCCTGAGGGAAGGGGGAGGGCGTTGGCTCTATGGTAACCCTGAGAAGAGAATGCCCTCTCTCCTCATCTGCATACAGACAGGCTCATCTGCATACAGACAGGCCTTATCTGCATATGCTCAGTGGGACTCTGAGAGCACATTCCAAAGTGTCCCGCTTGGGCCCTCCCACCCCAGTCCTGGCATCTCTATTGAGGGAGGGGTCCCACCCTGCCCCTTCTGCCCCTGTCTGGGTCTGGGTCTTTCTGTTTTCAAAAGGCAGCCCACCCTCTTCACTCTTCTCCTGTCACCTCTGCCCCTCTTTCCTTTCCGGAGTCTTTCGTCCCACCTCCTCCTTCCTGTCCCAGCTCCTTCACCCAGGAACCTCCCTTCCAAACAGGAGGCCACTAGTGGTGGCAGAGAGTTGGCCCCAATGCCTAGCTGCCTTAACCTGCTCAGGCTCCCCCAACACCCAGAAGGGAAGGGAGCCCATGAAGATTGATGCTCAGGCTCTGGGGTCCAAACAAAAGCGGGGCAGGGGGGCAGACCCTGGCAGCTTCCTCTTTGCTGACTAACTCCAAGCCAGATAATGCCTCTATTCACCCTGCCTCCCTGGGGACACCCCATCCCCAGGGCCACAGTGAGTCCTGACAAGGCTGGACGGTGGGAGAGCCTGTAAAATGAGGGCTGGGAACCTCAGAAGCACTCCCCTGGCCTGGTGAGTCTGGCTCAGCCCCTTAAATGTACCCAACTATTATGCAAATGGCCACCTGCTTCCAGCAGCATCCTGGTCCTTTTGGGGGACCCTGCGGCTCCTGGGCCATGTAGGCCAGGGAAAGCCTGGGATTCTTCTTCTGATGGGCCTCCATCCACCATGTTGAGGAACCTGGATATAACCTTTCCCCTCTCTGGTCTCAGTTTCCTCTGTAAAATGAAGAACTGGTCTAGACCCGGTGGCTCAGAGTGAACCTTCTTCCTGGAAATAGTGCCCAAGTATCTAGCCAGCATCCTGCATGCAATTCAGTAGACACAAGGATTTCCTGAGGTCCATTCTGACCTCAGTCTAGGAGTCCTGGTCTAGAGGAACTAAAAATGCTATGGTCAGAGTTTAAACAGAAACGGGGGAGGTATATACATATGCACTTGGATGCATGTGGAATATCTTGGAGAGGACACAGTTTCCAGTGGTTGCCTCTTGGGAGAGGAGGTAAGTGGCTGGAGACGGGCGGGAAGGAGACATACTTTTCCTTTTGTGCCCATGTATATTATCTTAAGATTTTTTTTTTTTTTTTAAAGATGACCAGTAAAGGGATCTCAACCCTTGACTTTGTGTTGTCAGCACCATGCTCACCCAAATGAGCTAAACGGCCATCTCTATATAGGGATCCGAACCCGTGGCCTTGGTGTTATCAGCACCGCACTCTCCCGAGTGAGCCAAGGGTCGACCCATCTTAAGCTTTTTTATTTAGAAAAATTCCAGGATTCAGGGGGCCGGCCCGTGGCTCACTCGAGAGAGTGTGGTGCTGATAACACCGAGGCCACGGGTTCGGATCCTATATAGGGATGGCTGGTTAGCTCACTGGCTGAGCGTGGTGCTGACAACACCAAGTCAAATGTTAAAATCCCCCTTACCGGTCATCTTTTAAAAAAGAAAAGAAAAAGAAAAAGAAAAATTCCAGGATTCAAATTATAGTTCCATGGACAGATTGTGGTTAGATGGGAGGAAGGACTTTCTGCAGGGTGACAGAGAGCTTAATGGATGGCAGTCTGAGCTCTGCTAACATTCTCTATCAAGGGTTCTCTAGAGTGAGAAGGAAACTAGCTTTGGGGGGAAGTATGTTGGAAACAGATGTTTTATGGGGAAAAGGAGTCAAGAGCACAGTCCCAGTTTTTCATTGTGATTTCCCTGCTTCCTCAGGTTCCCTTTCAGGTCTTGTCATTGCTGGGAAGTCCTACCTGCTGTCTAACTGGAATCCCTCTTGCTGGTCATATTTATTCCTTTGTATTTCCACTGAGGGTGGACAGAGAGGAAGCAAGAGTGAGTGGCCCTGTGAGACAGGGGTGTACCCTCTCTGTGGTCTGTTCAAACCCAGGAGGACATTTGAGGAAGGATCCTTTTGTGGAGGAGACAGAGGGCCACCCAGTGACCTCCTACACAGGTACTCTGGAGGAGCAACACCACCCTTTCCCACTCTTTTGGTCCTCGGGATGATACCTCAGTGCTTTCTTGGATGGGAGCATCAGGCCATTGCTCTGAGTTGGGACTGGCCAGATCATGGAGTCCTCAGGAGCCTCAGAGTGGCTGAGAGAGGTGAAAGGAGCTAAGACGTTTACTCACCACTCCCCCCACCCGCTAGGTGGGAGTTCTGGTTTTAGTGAGGCCTCCCCACTTCTGTTGCAATGTTAGCTTCTGTAGCATTGGTCTCTGTTACAGGGGGTCCAGTATCACCCCCCTCTCATTTAGTCCCTCCCCTTCCAACCCTGCCCAGGTATATCCACTACCACTATTACTCTTATTCAATATTCAAGAGTCTTTATTGGACATGAGATGGGGCTTCCATCTCAGAGGACAAGAGAATCCCATCTCAGATGACACAGGATAAACTGGGATGGACAGCCTGTGGATGTGGGAGAGATGGGTCAAGCAAAGTCTTATCCCAGATGGCTCCAGCGGCTGCCCAGGCTGGAGGCTGGGTCCTCCCCACTTGCAGTCTGTTCAAAGGCTTCTTGAAGGAGCCAGTCAATTTCAACTTGCTAGAGCTTAGCCTTATCTTTCAGACAATCCAGGAAGGCTTCACAGAGAGAACCCAGGCCAGATGGGTGAAGAAGATTCTTCTTTTTGGTCTGAAAAGAAAAACTGTTGACAGTGAAAATAAGTACTCTTTGAATGGAGACCTTAGGAGGAGGCAAAGGACAAACTTCCAGCAGCCATCAGGAAAGGTGAGGAGCTGGGGAGGGCTCCATAACAAAGGGGCCACATGACAGTGGCTTGAGTCTAGACATCTCTTCTAGACTTCTTGGGTCTAGGCATCTACCCAGGGCAATGAGGGCTGCGGGGAATGCCCAGGGCAGAAAGTCATATCCCAAACATGTGAGAGATTAGGCAGAGAGCCCAGGAAACTTGCTTCAGGAAGGCAGGGAGCATGCTTCCCTTGGGCTATGGACCAACCTGGGAGGATTTTGGTGACTTCACTGTTCCTGTGGCCTCTTCCGCAGTCCTGTGTTCAACCTGCAAGAACTGTTTTAGCATTCCTCAGACTTCACCCCTGACTTCACCTCAGACTGAGAACATGCCACGAATCTGCCTGCCAGTGTGTCCTATCTTGTTTCAGTCCCTCCAATTGTGTTTGGAACATGTTCTGCTGGAAGTCAGCACAGGGAGGGAGGGAGCAGGAGGAGGGTCCATGAAGCTCCATATGAAGCCCAACCCAACTTACTAGTCCTGTGATTCTGGGAAGTGACATATCCTTCCTGAAGTTTGATTCCTCCTTTGTAAAGAGGAGACAGTGTCACCCAGTTTTCAGGACTTGTTGGGAGGATTAACTGAGATAATGGCTGAGAAAGGGCTTGCACAACCAAATGGGTGCTGAATCAAGGTCAGCGCCTTCCTTCCTGGGCTGGGGGGAAGCTGTGCCTAGGAAAGACAAATCAAATCAGTAGGGGCTGCGCAGAAACCAGGCATCAGAAACACAGCTGTGGGAACGGCATTCCTTTCCTGCCCCATCCAGAGTCGGGAGCTCCCAAAGTTGACCTCACCCAACTTCTCCAAGAGCCTTAAAATCTGAGAAGAGAATCTCAGAAAGAGGAGGAGGTCTCAGCCACGTCACTGGTTGCCCACCTCCACTCAGATCAGTGTCACCTTCCTTCTACCTAGATTCTCCTCAACCTTTCCAGACTTACCTCCCTCCTTCCTGCCCCAGCTCCTCCTCCTTCTCCACTGCCTTTGCCTTTGCCAGGTTCCTAACCTTGACCTTGACAGTATGGAGGGGCATGGATGAGAGATCTGCCTTGCCTGTCATACTGGGAGCCCCCCAAAGGTAAGGACAGTCTCCCTGAAACCTGGGATCCTCGAAGCCTGTATTCCTGACTCCCTCTGGCCCTCTTTCAGACTTGGGCTGGCTCCCAGGTGGGCTAGCCGTGCTTCAGTGCCCCCTCTAAGTCTGTCCGCCTCTCTCCCTGCATGCTCTCTTTCCCATTCCTTGCTCCAGATCCTCAGCTTGCCTGGGAACCCTACTACTCCCAGGCTGGCTAGATCTAGGGGACAACAGAAGAGACTGGTGTCTGTCAGGGCCCAGGAAGGGGTCGTAGATGCAGATCAGTGCAGGGCCTTCCCCTGGTGGTGGGGGGGAGGAGTCCAGATGGAACAGTCTCCAGCCTGTTACACCCTCCCAGCCCCAGACAGAGGATCTCCTAGCAACGGTACAGTAGCAGGGGGCTGGGAAGAGGGTGGTGGCTGGGAAACAATGATATCATAAATTATCCCCAGCCCCTCCCTTCCAGCACACCCTTCCTCAGTGGAGAATGGCCTCCTTTCTCTCTCCAGCTGCTCTTCACTCAGGATTCCCTCAGCAAAGCTGGCCCCTGCTCAGAGTCCCTTACAAATGCCCCTCTAGGTCAAGATGACCATTCTCTGCCTTCTGGCTGGGCTCCAGAAGGAGGGAAGTTTCACCATCCCACAATCTCTCAGGGACCCTGCTGGAACCTCCCCATTGGCAGGAGGGGTAGGGCTGGCTTCCAAGGAGCCCCCCAGAGCACCTCGGAGACTATTCCTTTCCAGTGGTCTCTGGATCCTGCCTCTTTTTTGGGGTGCTTATGGGGGCAAGGAGGAGGAATTTCAAAGCATTTTGTGGCATTGACTCCTCTTCTCTAAACAAAAGGTTTTGGGGGCTCCCAAGTCTATAAAGGGCACGCGGCCTTCTCACCAAGCTGGCCAAGTCTTAGTTTCCTATCCTAATAACTGGAGTCCAGGAATTTTCCTAAAGCAACTAAAGCTAGATGGCAGTTGCTTCCTTACCTCTCAACTCAGCCATGTCAAGCTAAGGGTCAGAGAACTGGTGCTGCAGCAATACAGATCTCGATTATACATCGGGAAGGACTTCCCAAGACAGTAATAAGCAAGATCATAGAATTTACTGTGTGGAGAGAGGAAAAGTCTGTCAGAGAAGCAGGAAACTGGGTGGGAACCTCTTGAATTCTATCCCATTAATTCTTTCTTAGCCATATTAAATAACACACAGGGAGTGTTGAGCATGGAGCCTGACACATAGTAAACCTCCATTTGGGCTATTTTAAAAAATCGTTTAGTATAAATTTTCACTGGATGGGTATCAGGAGGAAGGGATAAATCCCTGGAGACCTATCTCCTATCCTCCAGGAACCCCATGGGAAAATCCAGATATGAGGTAGTGCCCTGAGTACAAGATGGCAGCCAATTGTCATGGCAACAGCAGGAGGAGTCTGGTTGGCTGTGGGGGCGGTGCTGGGAAGCCAGCTGGTGCCAGATGGACGAACCCAGCAGAAGGCAGCCCAAGCCAGGTGAAGCCCATACCCTGTGCCCAGTGCTCTCCCTCCATATGCCAGCCTCAGCCTAAAGGCCCCATTGCTATCTGTGGGGCATAATGGCAAAACCATTCCTCCTCCCGACTCTTGCTTGTACAACAAGGAATGACTGCATAGAGACAGAAGGCCCTCCTGCTCAAAGTCTCGCTGACCCATGGGCCAAGGGATCTAACTAGGTCTGAATTTAGCACACTCCTGCCAATGCTGAGGAGCCATAAAATCAGTGGCTCGGGAGGGTCCAAAGTGGCAGGGCTTGGGGGTACCGCTGTGTACCACAGTGACTGGCTTGTGCTCCCACTGGAGGACACGGGGCTGAGGGAGCAGGGTGGGTTATGGACAATGTGGGGAGACAGAGCTCCACCCTACTGCTCCCTTCCTCCCGATATTGCTGGACAGTATTTGCTCATGGCTAGTGGGCAGTTCTTCCTGAGGATGAAAGAAGCTGTGGTAATGGAGTTTACCACCTAATTGTTAAAAATGGGTTCCTCTCAAACCAGTCTCACCTGCTCAAGACCACAAGGGCTCCAGCCACAGAACCTGGTCACACTTTTCAGACAGGCTTTCACCATAGATGGTGCCCAGAGCCTCTCTTCTGTCCTCCAAGCAAACCCAGAAACCTTCTCTGACTGCCCCACCTCCTTCTAATGGTCCCTATAACTGTGTCCCTCAGCACTTAATATTTGGTTTTAGGGTGGTTTTTTTTTTTTTTTTTTTTTGGCAGCTGGTATGGGAATGTTAACCCTTGAGCTTGGTGCTACCATCACCACTCTAAGAGAGCTGACTAGCCAGCCCTGCATTTAGTATTTAACCCTGGACGTCTGCACACAGCCTGATGAAACACTCTCATTCACACCTCCCCATTTGATCTTTTGTTTCTACCCTGAAATACCTTGATTTTAATCCCCATTTGATTTTGAGGATAACCATGGAAGGAAGTTAGGGTTCAAAGACCTTAAGTGACTTGCCTACGGTCACCCTGCTGGTAAGTGGAGGAAGCCAGAATTTGTATCCTGACCAGCCTGTCCAATTCTGGAGTCAAAACCAAACCCTCCTTCTTTTGTTCTTCCTATTGGACACAGTGCCTCTACCTACCAAGTCTGTGAGCAACCTCAAGCTGAGATTGTGTCTGCTGTCATTCTGTCCTTCAAGTGCCCTGAATTCAAACATATATTAGAAGGGCCATTGTGCCCAAAAGGGATTGGAGGTGGAGGAAGTCTCTCCACACTGCTGATTAGCAATAAGTGACACTGAGGCCAGGCCAGGAGAGAAACCTCCCCTGGGGAAGATAAGAGTGGGTATGAAGACTGAGGTGGCCTCAGGACACCTTTTTGGCTCTGGTCAATCTTGTCTTTCTACCCTCCCAGTGCAGCCCTCCCTGGAGGGGAGCTCTGTGCAGCAGCCGGAGAGGGATTCTGACAGTCCCTGTGCTGGGAAGATGAGAGATGGCTCAGGTGGGTCAGTGCCAAAAGCGTCATGGGAGAGCATGTATGATTTGGGGAAGGGATGCTGGAGAGGCCTGAAGGGATCAGGAGTTACATCTGGGAAGAAATGGGGAGGCGGCAGGGGCAGGGCCTCAGCACTGGGGACCTGGAGGGCCTGACTGGATGCCAGAGAGGATCCTGCCCTGGGAATGGCTCTACTGGCTCTACCGTGGCCCCACTGTGAGAACCTGGCCAGGCCTCAGCTTTTCTCTACTTCCTGCCGGACCTGGTTAAAGCCTGAGGCCACCCTTTGGCCCTCCCCTCCTACAATCCCATTTTACCCCACCCCCGATGGGCCCCTGGGAGCTAAGCCCCCTCACCTGACAGGGTCAAGTCTATGGCTACTCACAGAGAGGTCTTTGTGTAAAGGCTGGCCTGGGGGTTGGGCGGTAGTCGGCACCCCCTACTTACATTCCACCCGGTGGCCAGCAGCCGCCTCATCACCTCCTCACTGTCTCTCCAGCCCTTCACCCTTCTCTCTGGGAAGAATCCCCTCAGAGCCTGGGCCCTCGATACCCCTCATGCCTTCCCTCACTCCCTCCATTAGGAAGTTTCCAGGACTGAACCCCTTCTGTGTGCTTCTTCGCTCCAGCCCCCTTGGCCTTGTGGCCCTTTACATACTGAAACTTTTTTTTTTTTTTTTAAATAAGAGCATTCAGAGACTAGCTGGTTACCCCACAAAGTCAGAGCCAGTGTCCCTGTCCGCAGCTGGGACCACCAACCTCAGCTCTCCCCAGGGAGCTCCCACAAACCTGCTGCACCCTGTGTGCGTGTATGTATTCTGGGACGGGAGAGACACATCTCTTCCTCGGGTAGCTTCCAGGCTTTCCATATGTTCCTTCATTTGCTCAGAACTAGCTGATTATAACACCAAGGTCACAAGTTCAGATCCCAGTACCGGCCGGCCGGCCGCCAAAACGCACTAGCTGAGAACCAGTTAATTGCTGGGTTGAGTGCTGTGCTCAGTGGGCAGCCAGATGCGGGAGTCCCTGTGCCTCCTGGGAGTGGTTATGTGTTGCTCTCCAGCCATACCCCACAGCCAGCCTCTCTGAGGCTGTCAGCTAACTTCCCCAGGACCCCATTACTAAATCCACCTCCCTGGTGTAACACATAATGCTCTTTACAGTGCAACTTCTGCCTCCATTTCCCTTCTCCTCCCACAGAAACTCCTTTGAAGGATACAATAGTCCCTTAACGCCCTACTCTTTCTTACCTGCTTGCCTTCACGCATGCTGTCTACTCTGCAGCACCCACCTCCTCACCCCCCTCAGACTAAGTCCTGCTTTTCTTCTATCGCTTATCTTTTGGCGCCTTCCGAGAAGCCTTCCTCAGCTCCCCCTCCATGTTTCCCTTCTCCACGCTCCCACAAGACCCTGTGCAGGTCTCAGGACAACACTCTTCACGCCCTTTTGTAATTATTGGTGTGCCTTCCTCTCCCACTAGACTGCTAGCTCCTCAAAGCAGATTCATATTTCATTCCCCCTCAGCACAGCACTGGCACACAGTAGGAACTCAATAAATGCCTGCCAAATGAATGAGCTGACATGGAGGCAGGAGTAAGAGAAAGGCAGGCACGGAGGGAAAGGTGCTACGAAGGAGGAAGTGGTGGGTGGTGATGCGATGGATTTGTACGTGGGGGGCAAGTCCAGGATAATGCTCAGGAGTTGAACCTGAAGGCCTAGGAGTTTAATGATGCCACTATAGAGGGAAGGGAGCAGGAACACGGGCAAGACTTGAAGCACCACGCTGAGTGAGCGTCTGAACCTCCTGGGGAATGGCCCACTGCCAGAGTTTTGGTGGGAGGTTGTACTTATATGCCACTGTGGAAGCTAAAAACACAGGTACTTTCCCAGCCCTCCTTGCAGCTAGGGCCTGGACGTGTGGTCCAGGTTTGGCCAAGCAGAGGAGCCATGCCAGTCTCTGATCTGGGAGATGGCAAGACCCCAGGTAGTAGTTAGGGTGCAAATATGGAGTTTAGGAGAGATCAAGATTAAAGAAATGAGTGAGAGTTCATAATTCAGATGAAGGTTGAAGTGATAGGAGTACATAAGAGGGAAAAGGAAGGAAAAAGAGTGCTGATGGCAGATCCCTGGGAATGCTTCTGGTGGGGAACTGGTGGATCCAGAGGACACAGTGAATGGAACTAAGAATAAATAATCATGGATAGAGCAGAACAATCAAAGGCCAAAGGCGAAGACTGGGGATATCAGCATGAAGTTTTCCATGGAGGTCAAGGAAGACGAGGCCTGAGTAAGGGTCAGTGGGCCCAGTTAAGGAGGCTGTGAGTGGCCTTTGGGAGGGTGCAGTTTCACCAGTTATGAAGGTGGAAGCCAGACTGCTGGGCTGAGGAGCAAAGATAGGGTGTCACCTCAAGTATAAGCAGCCACCCACAGGCCCCAGTGACCCTGAAACTGGCAGAGGATCCTGCCTGCCCACACCTTACCTTTCCCTCCTCCCATTGATACTCCTGGTTCTGATTCTCCCGGTACTTTTTACGTTACCCACAGACCTCCAAGTCCTCTGGGAACTAAAGACAGTGCTGAGGCCTCTCTACCATCCTGCTTCTGTGCTGAACCTCACCTCTCTCCTGGGAACAGCCATTCCTGATCTCTCCCTCCTTCTTTCTCTATCTTCTCTTCCTAATTCCACCAGTAGGAAGATTTAACAATATTCCCAGTCAGCCAGAAAGTCCTTTTCACAGTCACACTGTCCCCCATGTCCACCACCAGGGATGGCTCTCAGCCTACACCTGTCAGAGGCGGCCATTTTATATGCGCCAGCTACCTAAGATGGCGGCCCCCCTCCCTCCCTCTGCTTCCGTTCCCACAGCCTTGCCTCCTACCCCTGCCTCTTTCTTTCTGAAGCTTGAGCCCAACAAGGTGGGGGGCCAGGCTGGGGAGCCAAGGCCGGAGGAAGCAAGACAAAAAAGGACAGAAAAGCTGGCCCGTTGGCATCTCTCTTTGGCATTTGAGTCCAGCCCAGTGAGGGAGGGCAGAAGGGAAGAAAGAAAGTAGTGTGGGTTTTTATTTCTGTCCTCTTCCTGCCACCTCCCTGGCCCCTCCCCCCATGCTTTGATGAAAACAAAATCTCTCCCCTTTTCTCTCTTCTCCAACCCCTCCCTCCCCTTTTTTCCTGGCTTCTACCATGAGCCTCCTGGAATGCAAATGAACTATATTATGCAAATGTATGCAAATCAGGCTTAACGAGCGGAAGGAGGGGGCAGAATGCTTAATGAGTAATGGCAGAGGGGGCAGGTGGAGGGTGGCAGGAATGGTCCTCTCCTCTTCTCAGTTCCCATAGCCTAGAGGTTTGCTGAGGGCAGTGAGCTGCATGTCTTTCCCTTACTGGGAAAGAGTAGAAGGTCAAGGTCCCATCGCTTCAGCTGAGAAGGCCTAGGATGGTCTTGGCTATAGGTGAGGGTCAGGAGAGCTTCAGGAGAGAGGGGAAGTAGAAGGGACTGGTGCTCACTTGCATAACCTTGCCCAGAGACTCTGGATGCACCAGCCTCCTTGCCTGTATGGCCTGCTGATGGCAGAACCTTCAACTCTCGGTGCTGAAAAGAGGGTGATGCTTATATATGCCATGGCTTATGCATCAGAAAGGAGGATTCCCAAGGGAAGATTCCCAGCCAGATCCAGGTTCTTCTTGAGGGTGGGGGTGAAAGCTGTCTCTCTTTGTGCTTTGGGAGGTGGGGGTTGGGGTGGCTGCCATAGCAACATAGCATGGAACACTCACCTCCCCAACATTAAGCCCCAGAGGACCTAGGAGTTGGGGGGAATAATGGATCGACACCCCCTGATGCCCCAGCCACCTGGCACTGCCAGCCGGAGATGGCGGCATCAAATCCTGGAGAGAATGGCCCCTTTGTTTCTAGGCTCACGGTGTTGGGGGAGCAGTCCTGGGCACACAGAAGGGCCTTTCCCAGGCCCCATTCCAGTTTGCATGACTCCTGCTGGCTTCTGGAGACTCCTTGTGGCCATCCATTGGCCTCTGTGCCCTGGCAGATGGTTGCCCCCTTGCCTTTTCTCCCATGGGCTTGCCAGCTACTGCTAGGTATGCCTTCCTGTGCTTCTCCCTGAGGCCTTCTCTCCAAACCTCCTCAGACAGAGAGAGCAGTCAGTTCCACCTCTTCCTGGATTTCATGACACCTCACATGCCCAGACATGCATCCTGTCCTTTTTTATATGGGGGCAACCTGTGAACTTCCCCTACCAGCATTAGGCCTGCTCCAACCTATCCCAGGCAGGGAGACTTCCAAAGGAGGCATCAGACGTGACAGAAAGGGACAGGCTGGAATTCAAGAGCCTGATCTCGGCATTTCCGCTAACCGTTTGGGTGACCTTGGTTACACTTCTTCCACTCCCTTGGGATCTGTAAAACGAGGGATATAGGGCTGATGATATCTAAGGTTCCTTTTAGCTCTACCTGATCTATACACTCCATATCTTATGTTAAATTCTTCCTGAAATCTAACCTTCATCCTTCTGACTCTGAAGAAGCCCCTCTAATTCAGACTCCCCCACCTGAGGACAAACCCAATTTCCTGGAGACCGGAATGCCGGCTTCTCTCAGCCTTTGTCTCTCCCCGAGACTCCACAGCTGGCCGCAAACAACTCCCACAGATTAAAAAATCTAGTCTTTGATATCTGATGGTACAGACAGGAGGACCCCTCCTAGCCCTCCCAAAATGGGGTCAGCCTGGCCATCTCACTCACCGTCCCGGAGCTGTCCATGGTGCTGGACATCTTTGTCTTCCACGTGGAGGAAAGAGGGCGGGAGGGTGGTGGGGCACCCACCCTTCCCAGGTGAGAAGCTAAAGGGAAGAGAAAAAAGTAGAAACATTTGGAAACAGAAAGAAAGGAGAAAGATTTATTCCTGAAGAAAGTTTCTCCTCTCTGAAGACCTCCAAATTGCCAATTAGACTTTGAGGAAGAGCCTGAGAGTAAATCAATCTCTGAACCTACCACCCCTTCATCCCTGATGACTTAAGTGCCCCAGATTAGCTTAGTCCTCCTCTAGATCCCTTTGAAAATCCACAGGGGGATGGAGTCATGGTTCCTGCCCTTGGGGAAGAGCTCAGGTTGAGATGGGAGACAGAGTACAGATCTCTAAATTCCATCTTAAATCCTAAGGCTCCTCCAAGGAATTTAGTAATAAAGATGAGAAAGATACACAACCTGTCTGATAGTATTATAGATATTAGGAGCTTGGGAGGGAAGGTAGTGAAAGAGCAGAATGTGTTTGTGTGTGCATGTGTGCACATGCACAGGCGTGTCCGTGTGTGTGTGTGTGTGTGTGTGTGTGTTTCCCAGGCAGAGAGATGAGCTTATATAAGTGTCTTTATCCTAGCTGCACACTAAGTGATACTGATGCCTGGGTATCATTCCCAGATACTCTCATTTCATTGGTCTGGGGCTGGACAGGATTTTAAAAAAAGCAAACATCGGTATTTAAAAAAAATTTCCCAGGCGATTTTAGTGCATAACCAAGTTGAGAATCACTAGCCTAGAAGAAAGCAGATAAGAAAAGGTGCTGGAGCTAAGCCTGATTAGCTGGAGGAAGATGCAAAAGTAGGGCCTCTAAAGAAGGGAATGAGCAGGGAGGAGAAAAACAAGCATGTAACTCCCCTCTCCTGGGAGGCCCCTGGGCCTGGCCTGGGGACTGACTCAGGTGTTGGACTTATCTCTTCTGTGCTGTGGAAGCTCAAACCACCCCAAGGCAATGAGATAAACTGCAGACAGGGAATGGGTGCAATGACCCTGAGGGCATGCTGCTCCCCTTCACCCAGAGGGTCCCCAGGGAGGTGGCCATGGAAGGTAAACAGCAACAATGGTCTCTTTCAGTGTCCAGACTCTAACCCTTCAGTCCAATTAGCAGACACAGCAAACAGCAATTCAGCTGCCTTCAGCCGCTGTCATAACAAACTCAGAGCTGTGTTAATGGGGGGATTAGGGCAGGAGGAGGGGGGTGTCACTCTAGCCCTGGGAGAGCCTGGGTGGCAAGGAGTGGGTTCCCCTTTTCTCTCACTTCTCTTCTATCTAAATATGTACCCACCCACTCTTCCTTCCATAAGTCTGCTCCTCATTCTCCTTACAGCCCTAAGAATGTTCTTATACTTTTGTCTCCTCCTTCCCTCCAGTGATCTTAAAGCATTAACCTAAACTCATTTATCTCCTAGGAAAGCTGGTATACCCCACCTCTGGATGAGACAGTGCTATAACCCTCCTCCCACCCCAGACCTCCGAGGTCCCAACAGCAAAGGAAGGGAAGGGAAATGGGAAGGTCAGTCTGTCCCCAGAACATTGGGGTGAGAGGGAGGTGAGGAAATAAATACCAAATTCCGACTCACAAACCTCGGAAGTGCAGATTTCAAGAAGGACTTCCAAACATAGTAGAATGCAAAGGGACCGTGCTTCTCTGATTCACAAGGTTCACCAACCTTATGAATCACTTCGGGGCTAGGGGGACGTTGGTTTGGGAGGCAAGGGGAGAGAAGACACCACATCTTAAAATCACTCAGTGATGGAGAAAAGTCTGCATGCTGTTAGGCAGATCTCTATCTGGTTTGTTAATTATACCCATTACCTAACTGGCCCTTTAATTTAATAATCTGTGTTTTTAGTAACTCTAGAATCCAGAACTTTAATGGCATAAACTTGGAATGATCATTTACACATGCTATTTGTCTCTCTACATAAGTCAGTTTACTAATTATAGATACTCTTACCAGTAAGTGGGAGGATCCATTAAGGAGAAAGAGGACAATGGCCATTCTGTCACATGGGCTCCAGCTTCTTCCCCTTAGCAGGTTTCTGAGGGTCTGCCTTCTCTCCCTAGGCTTCAGACATTTCCTACCCACGTCCCCAGGAGTCCCTCCTTGACTCCCAAAGCTGAAAATGAGGAGGAAATTCCTCAAGTTTAAATGTTTTGAGATCCTTTTCACATTCTGGGAACAGTCATATGCCATCAGTCTTCCCAAATTGTAGCCTTTAACCCTTCTGAAATTTATGAATTACCCTTAACCCATGGGTATCATAACATATTATAAGATCTCTTATATAGAATTCTTCATTTGCTGAATGTGACAACCCTAAGGATATAGAAATTCTTACCCCATTATACAAATATCTGAATCAAGGCTCAGAGACTTGCACAGGTGGTAAATGATGGCACCTAAACACGGACCTTGGCTGAGTCACATTTGCTTTCTGTTTCTTTCCCTTCCTGGGCTTGCTGACTGTGATGATTCTCCTTACTGTAAAGATCCTTTCGATGCCTGGAATTGGGAAAAAATTTGTCCCAGGGTGAGAGTGTGAGTGATAATGCAAAACTTGAGTCAAATATTTTGGAGAAAATTGCCTTTAGACTCCTGGACTTAGAATTCAATAGGAGGGTATTAAGATGAGGGGTTGAGGGGAGAAATGGATAAAGAAGCCAGCTTATAATTTGGTTTCAAGTAAAAATAGGTGGATGTAGTGAGATCTGAAGAATAGAACTGAAAATTCTTGGACACAGGCAGAGGCGTGATGATACAAGGGATGAGATTTCCTAACTGGTAACTGGTGAGTCCTTTACCAGCCCCTTTCACCCCAGCCTCTCTGCACCGCAGTCTCACCAGTTCTCCTACCGGGTTTAATTGGAGGAGGTGCTATCTTGTATAAAAGGGGTGTGGAGGACTCAGCGGCGTGACTGTGATGTCTGTATTTGGTAAACTCCCCCTCAAATCCCAGAGTGTCTGTTCCCATAGTAGGTTGATATCTATACATAGCCAAGCATGCCTAATCTCACAACTGAGCTTCACCCACATCCAACCTCACACCAGGTCAAACACCATTTGGTTTCTCACCCTCATAAGCAGACACACAGCTCCTAAACACAGTCACCCATCCCTCTCCTGACAACCCCACCCACACACCCACATGCACATACCACATGCACATATAAGGCAGACATAAACCCTCATCCCCACATCCCTCCTGGCCTCTATTCCCCCTTCCCACCGAGGTGCTTGTTTTGTAAGGTGTAAACCCACAACCCACCAGTTTCCTTAGGTTGTCTATTCTCCTTTTAAGAGCCTGTGGTCAAATGTACTGATGGGAGACAACAATAATAATATAAAGCAATTGTGGTTAATAATAAGGGTCCTAAGTCTCATGTGGATGAGCCTCAGCAGATCTCAAATACTCATTTCCAACAAGCTACATGAAAGGTTAAAAAAAAAAAGGAAGCTTATCTCTCTTTCAGTGCTTCTCCTTCTCCCCGTCCCTCTCCAGCCCACGCTCACGAGGCGAGGCCTTCCGTCTCCCCCGATGCCTCATCGCCTCCATTCTCAGCTCATCCCCATCTCACTCTCCCTACCTCACTCTCTCTCCAGCTCTTCCCACAGGCATGTAGTGGGAAAAGCATTGGGTTTAAAACCACTGAGTGACAGGAGCATCTCATTTGGGTCTGTGGTTCTTTTTCTGTAAAACGGGGTAAATAACAGCTAACTCACAGTGATGGAAGATCAAAGAAAGACTTGTAGGCAGAGCTCTGTTGCCCAGAAAGTAGTGTCAAGAATTATTAGTCCCTACCTAAAACCTGCTCCTTTTCTCCCTAATCCAGTCTCAACCTGCCCCTCCTGCAAAAAACCCAAATTCCAAACGGCTGAAAAAATAAGAGGCCACTAATCTCTCTTTTCTCCAAAGAAAGGAGACATATGTAGTCCAGGCTCCCTGAAGCCCAATTTCTTGTTTGGATTCTCTGATATTTCTCCCATACAATATATAATTGAATCATTATCTTCTAGCTATATAATCAGATCCTGGGAGGAAATTTTTAATTTACACAGGAAAGTGGAGTCAGTGCAAGGTCATTTTGTCCAGTTCTCCCACCCCCTTATTACTCCTTACTGCTCTGTGTCCTGGAATGCTGGGCAATGGAGGATGGAATTGGAAGTGGTAATAAATGCAGATGGGGCTATTTCTAGCTCTGGCCACATTTACTTTTACTCTACAAAGCAACTGTAGACCATCTTCATCTCAACTGCATCTAAACACTCTTTTGCTTAAAATATTTAGGTCAGGCCAGATAAACGGATTCTTTTAGGAAAGGCCCTGATTAATCTCTCTAATTCTTTGCTTTCTCTGGGCAACACAGATACTGAACTACAAAATCCTTTGTGTGGGAGCTCCTCAGAGCTCCTTGAGGCCATTTGTTTTCCTTGGAGATGATTTCCAAGAGTGAGGATGGAGCGGGAAGGTAGGGTGTCGGAATGACCCCAACTCAAGCCCTTTGGTCAGTAATGACAAAGCAGCATAAGAATCTTTTAAGATATCAGACTCAGGTCCTGGGTCCAAAGGAGGAAAGAATATGGAAATGGAGCAGAGACTCAGCACTCTATTGGCCCAGAACCCAAGCTGGACAAAAGTTTCTCCAGCACCCTGTCCTCATTTTTGAACAAACCCCCACCCAGTACCTCCAGCTCTAGTTCCCCCTATTTCCACTTTGATATTCTCAGCTCTCAACCAAGCTGGATAGCCCTACATGTCTGCAGAGAGCCCACCGAAGCAAAGACCAGTGTTCTCTCAGGGGGCCTCCTCCAAACCCTCCCAACCCCAGCAATACCTTTGGATAGACTATGGGAAACTGTCCACCAGCTCCCACCCACGGGAGAGGCCTGGACCAGGAGCCCCAGGCACTGTCCCGTCCCGAATAATCCTGCAACTAGATATCAGCAGATCTCTCCCTTGGAGCAGTGACCCACACTGCTGGAAAAGGAAAAGTTCCCATCAGGAGCAGGGACCATCAGAGGGGCTTCCTTGATTTCTCTCAACTTGATGGGGGGGGGGGGTGGATAGTGCACCTGGCTAAAGTGAAATGGGACGGTGACTCCTACCTGCGCGGAATAGGGTTAGGGGATGAGAATCGCCCTGACCAGTTTGATCTGGAGGCCGGTGGGCCGCTGGATCCTCTTGTAGCCTCCCACGGCGAGGGGCTGGTCAGTCCTCGCGGCTCCAGCCCCTCGCCCAGGCCTCCCCACCCGCTCCTGAGGCCAGCTTTCCCGGGGCCCTTCTGCGCAGTGTATGGGGTTATTTTTACTTTCGGTTATCTAGCTTTATGAAGACTCCACACCACTCATACAGCTAGATAACCAAAGATAACAACCAACCCCGCCTCCTGGCTGCCGCCGCCTCTTCCACGCAGTCTCCCGGCTGCCACCGCCGCTGCCGCCGGTACCTCCGCAGCCTCCCGGTCGCCCGCCGGTAGGGACTTGGGGGGGGGGGCATACACGGGTGGAGGTGGGGGGCGGAGAGACAAATGGAGTCCAAGACCAAGAGACTCAGACACAGAAATATAGACACGACCGAGGCTGGAAAAGATGTGGAAAGGACGCGATGGTCAGCGGCATCGAGGTCCGGGGATCGACCCCGGACCCCAAAATATTCCTACGCCCCATTTCCCGCTGCCCCATTCAAGCCAGAAGTAGGAGTTCCGCTCGTCCCGGGGAGAAGGGACTCGCGGGCTTTTCGTGCCATCCGGGAAGAAGGCAGGGATTGAAGGACTCCTCCCCAACCTCACAATGTCTCCACTGCCCTCCTCTGGAAGACCGAGGGCACATCCGGTAGCCAGAGCCTTAGCCTTCAGCGGAGTCCGAGCCTCCGCGTGGGGCAGAAGGCGAGAGCCACGGAGGGGCCCAGCCACGTCTCCAACCCGCGAGGGCGGTGGAACGCGAATCGGAGCCCGTGCGGGGGAAAGAGCTCTATCCAAGCTGCCAACTAAAGGACGGAGGGAGCAGCGAAACCCTGGGGGTAAACCCCCCAGAGGCGCCCCATAGGAAACAGGGAAATCCCGGCGACCCAAAGAGAGAGGAAAGACTGTGGGGGTGGGGTGGGAGGCTACCCAGAGACGCCCAAGCAAGCCTCCCAAGGAGAGAAGGCAAGGGCAAAGACCCCACCCGGGAAGAGATCCCGGCGCACCCACGAGTTGGGTGAGGGAGGAAAGCGCGGGGTGGCCGCTCAGATGAACCGAGTCCCAGGTCCCGCAGAGCCCAAGAGAAACGGCTTTGTACAAAGAGGACCAGAAATCACCCAGGGCTGTGAAAATGGCCGGGGGTCCGAGGCGAGAGGTGTCCTAGGGGTTGGCAGGGGTTGAGATCAGTAACAGGAATCGACAAGGAGGTCCGGCGATACCCGAAGAGAGTGTGGGGCTCGGCCGGCCCCTCGTGGCCGACGCGCGGGCACGCTAGGCTTCCGAGGTGCTCGCCCACCTCGTGCCCCACGCCGGTCAGGCCACTTACATCCAGCCCAGGGTGCCCATCTGTGCTCTCCAGCGAGGTCCTCCCGGCAGGTTCCGGTCCATGGAGCGCCACGGACCTGGGTCCCGGATGCCAGAGCTCAGGGGGCGCCAGGGCGGAGAAGCCCGCCCAGCTCTTAGGCTCCGCCGAGCCAAGGCGAGCGGGGAGGAGCGGGTCTCACCTTCCCAGCTCCCTCCTCAGCCTCTGCTGCGACTCTGGCCCCGGCGCGCTCCGGCTCCGGACTTTTCATTCATCCTTTCACGCTCCCTCCCCAGGCCAGCCTCTGATTGGTTCTATAGAGTCTGACGTCACCGCCTCGTTCCCCCGTCGGCCCCGCCTCTCCCCCGCCCCTGGCTGGCACCGCACGCAATTGGGGCGCCCTCCCTCCGGAGAATGGGGGAAGGGGGACTCCTATGTCTGTGTGCTGATTCTCAGTCTCTTGCCGCCTCCCCTACCCTCAAGACCCGCCTGCCATCTCCAATCCATTGCCATTTGTGATTTTGATCTCCAACCTCACTCTTTTTGTAGGTCCTACATTTTTCATTTTGACCCTAGATATGTTGCGCCAGGACCAGGGTGCAAAGATGGAAAAGAGATAGGATGAAACCCCCTCAAAAACAACCAGATGACTGGAGACTCTACCCCTACCTGCCTCCTCCCATCAGAATATTCTTTGTGCTTCTAGGGTTCTGATCCTTCCTGGACTGTGATCCTTATCTTTTAGGATGGGCAGGAACCTCTCTTGTTGGTTTTCAATCCAAAACAGTGAGGGAAAGATTCTGGAAGTTTGGGACTCCTGCTGGAAGATGCGGAGTCTGGGCGAGGCTGAGCCTCCTTTTCCATCTTTCAGAAACGGGAATATTTTTTTCAAAACCTGTTCTCAGCATCAAAAGTTCCAGGTAGAGGAGGCTGTGGGTGAGGATCCCAACTGGCATCAGCCTGGACAAGACGAGCAGAATCTGACCCAGCCACGGAGTCCCTCGCTAGCGCCTTTTCTCTCTTCCGCCACACCGTGCGCCTCCAACCTCAAGCCCTGGGCCTCCCACCCGCGTTCCAGCTCTGGTTGTCTGGAGAACTGGGGTCCTGGGGAGGAGGATCAACCTCCAGCAAGGTTTCTGTCCCGGGCCGTCCCGACCTGGCTCCCCATCTGACCAGCGAGACCTTCCTGGTTTGACTTCTCCGCCAGGAGAATCAGAGGTGAACAATGCCGGGTCCCAGTTTGGGGTGGGTACACACTGGCTGGCAGGCAGGATCCGGATTCTCGCTGCCTGGCGGAGCTCTCCGAGCTAGCTTCGGGTCCCTACCTGAGCCTCTGGGCCTGCCAGGGAGCAGTTCGAATTCCCGGTCCCGAGCCACCCCACACTTCCATCCGTCCTGCTTTCGGCCCCTTTGCTAAAAAACTCAGATACCCAGAGCCTGTTGGTCAGATGAATACGGGCCAGCTCCTTTAACTGGAGAAACTTGAACACTAGGCACTCCAGGGGAACACCGATTTGGCCCTCAGATCCTGCCATATTGTTTTATCTCCCGGTCTGCACAGCCAGGACAAAGCCAAACCTGAATGCTATTCATCTTGGTTAGATGCAAAGCTGGTGGCCAATGGGTTTAATTTAGTGCTCCCCTCAAAGATTGGAGAATGAATAATCGCTGCCATGGATGCTGGCAGCATGACTGTGGGGTAGGGGACAGTTCGAAATAGGATAAAACCTGGGGGCTCTGGGTTTCCCTACCAGAATAAAGCTTTTCTTTTCTTTCTTTCTTTCTTTCTTTCTTTTCTTTTCTTTTTTTCTTTTTTTTTTGGTGACTGACTGGTATGGGGATCCAAACCCTTGACCTTGGTGTTATCAGCACCATGCTCTCAGCCAGCCCAACCTACCAGAATAGTGGTATGGGGCTAATGCAAATAACCCAGGTCTCAGGGCATTCTCAAGGCTGGGCAGCTTTTCCCCTCTATCATCCTCCACAGAGTCTCAAGGCCCTTACCCAAGGGAAAGGTGTTCTAGAATATTCCACAGAGTCTATTCCTCACCATCCCAGAGCTAGGAGCACAGGAGGGAAGGAAAGAGCAAAGTGTCCACTCCCTACTTTGTTTCTTCCTGCCCCCTTCCAGGTGCCCCCACAGCTTAGAATGAAGGGAACACTGAAGGAGCTTTGGGGTCCCCATCCTTCCAATACAAGTACAGAAGAACAGAACCTTCCCCAAAATATTCTCACAGATAGACAGATCTACCTACTGGCATGCAGCTAAATGCATCTCCATAGGGCCCCAGAGAAACTACAGGTCCTCCAGTCATTCCTCTACAGCCCCCCTCAAAGATTTCTCAGTATACCACCCCACATCCCCCTATAAGATGCCAATACTCTCCAGACATTCCAGCAATTCTAAATAGGGCCTACACTTCTCCAGACACACCTTCAACTTCTACTACAAATATCCCTGTTTGCCCTCCCACAAGATCCCTTAAAGGCACCTTATGCAAACCTTTCTCCTCTCCTTCCTCCCCTCACTAGCACCTGAGAGACTGGGGCCATCTTGTGGGGAAGAGCTGACTGTCTTGCTAGCTAAAACTCTCCCCTTTCTTCTCTGTCACCAATTTTCAACCCAGCCCCCTGGCCTCTGTGGGGCCCAAGCTTATCTCCACAACTCCTTACCCTGACCTGGGCCATCCAGACAGTGCAGCAGAAGGCTGCTAGGGTTGGCATGAGCCTCCCTTCTCTTTCAGCCTCTTCTGTATTTTTGTTGGGGAGGGGAGAGGATAGAAAGATTTCTTTGCCCAGCGGAAACTCCCCAACTCCGACATCTGTTGGCCAAATTCAGATTCAACTGGACTTCCTCAAAAACCAAGGTCAAGAGAGAAATGGATACATTTACCTGACTTCTGAAAAATATCTAAATTTCCACAAATAGCTAGATAAAGAGCAAGAACCCTCTGCCTCTTACTGCGGCTTTAGGTTCTGTAGAGGTGGTTCAGCCTAAACCGAGTGTCCAAATTTAAGGAGAGACCCCCTACAAAGGAAAATGGAGATTAGTCTAAATTGTCCTGGCACTATCCACAGGGAATTCCCATCTCTGTCCAGATTCCTGATGAAGTAATTTTTTGTTTGGTTTTGTCTGGGTGCACCTGGCAACCTGATCTCTCACCTCTCCTGCTCAGGGATGAAGGTGAGGGAGTCATCTGTCTTTATTCCAATAGAGATAGAATTATAAGCCATAGAAGAAGCAGAAAACTCTCCATCATTAACTGGGATTTGTTTGTATACCAAGCCATGTTGTTCCAGTTTCAAAAAAGAAACTACTTCGAGGAAGGTAAATGAGATAGTCTCTCAAGGACAGGGGCAATTTCATACACATTCTTGTCCCTGGTAGCTAACACTATGCATAAAACAAAGTGGATGCCCAACAATCGATAAATTGAAAAAGGTATATGTGTGCTTGTGAGTGTGTCTACAAGTCTGGGTTTGCTGTCATGTGAACTGAGTGCATTATGCGTGGGGAGTGAGGGTATTGATAAGTTATATGTTCTGTGTGTGTGGATGGGGAGGGGAGAATGTGTCTATTATTGTGTTGTATATTCGTGACTACTCAGCAGTTCTTTTGACTAGAGGAGACCCTTCTACTAACTGGTTACAGCAGGCCTGTGAGAAGCTGGAAGCTAGAATAAAATGGGTGTATTAGATGCCCATTGGGCTTGGCCCACCAACCTCATTCTCCCTAGGAAGAAGCAGGGCCTTCTGCTTCTAGCACACAGCACAGTCCACTGGAGTGCTGTGTAGAGCGATGGTCTTCAGACCCCACCCTGAGTCCTTCCAGGGACATTCTGAGGGAGTGGGGAGATCACACCAAATCTCTGGTGCTGATCTTAGTCTGTACATGTCTCAATTCACCTACGGGCCTGCATTCCCTGCCGGTGCCCATCTCCATCTCCATCTCCACAGCCCTGGTGCCCACCTATTGTCTGTGTGCCTGAAGAGGCCCATGTAGAGAAAAACATGGCCTGAATTACACTCTCTGGATGCAGCTCTTGGACAGATCTTTATAATTCGGCTCCCAAAATACATTTTGGTAGTAAACCAATCTCTTGAAATATTCAGGTAATTAAATACAAAGCACATTTTTTTCTTTGTTTTAATTACCAAATTGATTTGACTTGAAGATGCTGATGAAAGCTGCATTTGGGGGAGAACAGGGTCAGATATTTATTTCTGTCTTATAAGCACATCATTGATATGAATATCATCATACATTACTCTTCTGCTATAGAATATTTGCTTTGTCTATGGGATAGTGACAAATAAAAGCCAGAATTGGCAGTAAAAAAATGCTGAGACTGTGTGAAAAAAATAATATATATATATATATTTATGTCTATCCATATGGGCAGACAAGGGTTGATGCATGGGGACATAATCTGGAGGATTTCGTCCCTGAGGATACACCCTTCCTACCCCAAAGATGTGTTTTTCTCCAGTGGAGGAGTCAGCCTGAGGATTCCTCAGGACTGATGAAGCACTGCTTCCCCTGCCTGCCCCCAGTTCTGTTCTTGAGCCCACACACCGCTCACTTGCCTGGGAGCCCTGTGGTGACCAGAAGGTGAGAACAAGGTGGCAGAGACGGTAGAGGGTCTGCTGGTTCATCCAGGTTGAGCCTTTTCTACAAGACCCTCGGCCATCAGCAATGGCTTCCCTAAGGGGTACAAGCATGAGTGTGCAAGGGTGCTGCGTGTGCACACACACATACACATTCAAACCTATCAACTCAGACAACGCAATGAGTAATCCATGGAAACTCCCGGCAGTACCATCTCCTGATGCTTACAGGTACATGCCCTGGCCACACACCCACTCACAGTTATTTAAGCTCCCCAGGAACCCCTTCACCATAACCCACACTCCTCTCCTTTCTCACCTCTGTCACCCTCCCCAACCAGCCACCTCCCCCAAAGTCGATTGGCCTCCATCTCTACCCTCAGGAGCCTATGGGTAAAGGGCGAAAGAGTTCACTGTATCCCCAATGCCTTCCCTCTCTGTCCTAGAACTGGATGCAGCGTGGCCTTTCCTTCCCAAGCCGCCTTGTTCCATTCCCATTATCCCTGACTGTATAGGACTTATTGCAATTGGTGTAGACCAAAATCGGGAGCTGAAAGCTGGAGGACACAGGGAGTGGGGTAGAGAGGTGTAGAGCACAGGACAAACACAGGCAATACAGGGCCAGCTTTCCTTTTCTTCCCCCCACCCACACCACCATCAAAAACAAAAAGAATAAATACCCCAAGAGCCAAAGGTGACCACCTACGATGATGACACCAGAAACAAATGAGGCGCTGCTTCTTGGATGCCCAGCTCCTGTCAAGGAGGAGAATGCAAAGGTTAAAGTCCTCTGAGTGGCTCCAATCCTCTTTCCCTAACTGCCCCCAGTCTCCCTATCACTCTCTTGACAACTCCTTTTCTCCTACCTCTATGTCTCCAGGACCTAGACAGTCTAGGTTCCCCTCTTCAGTTGCCAAGGCTTGAGAGTTCACAGGGAGATAGTCCAAAAAGAAAAGCCTGAACATGCAGGGAAGGCAGGAGATTCTCCAGCACCATCTTGCCTGAAAGACTCTAACCCAGCCTTGTCCTCACAACCTCCTCCACCTCCCTCCAAAACCTTTAAGCCCAGGGGTTTGAACTGAGCCCGGAGAGATCTCTGACTTCAACCTGAAGAAGTAATCCCCTACCCAGTGGACGCTGCCTCCTCCCAGATTCCTGCTGCTCATGGTCTACCAGAGAGCATGCTGAGGATAGAATGGAGGTTCTGGGGTTAGGGACATATATTTGTTTGTCTGTATCTAACGGTACTGTAAACTGTAAAGTGCTATGCACATTTAAGATATTCTCAATCATGTTATCTCCCTAGCTTTCTCCACCCATCTCTGTCATTACCTATCACCTATCCATGTATATCGCTCAGGCTCCATAAAGATATATCTTGTAGCCATCAATTTTCTCCCTCAATTTTTCACCTACACAAAGGGTATGAATACAAAGCCATTATTTTTATTATTATTTTAATGTGGGAATGGATCTCAATACTTTATAGTCTTACCTTCCCGATATTTTGCTTTCAGGTTAAATTATGGTTTGAGGAATGACATATATACTATAAGTGATCCGGCTCCTGAAATACTAAGAGGAATGTATTTATGTGTGTGTGTTCATTGGGGTAAGTTGGTGAATTCTTTTACCTCAAACTCAGTTTTACAACTAACCCCCCCCTTTTTTTTTAAAGTCAGGAAGGTAACCTACCTAAATGCAGAGGAAATCAGAAAAAAAAAAGAGAGGCTGGGTAGCAGGGATAAGCCTTAAATCTAAGCCTAATTTCTAGGAGGGGTG